GTGTATGTATGTATGTGTGTGTGTGTGTGTGTGTGTGTGTGAAAAAGCCTCCCTCCCGCGCGGCCGCCTGTCTTCTCGGGCACATTCCAGAAGCTGCTGCTCACTTGGTTTAAAATGTGGGTCCAATTTTGGTTTTTTTCCCCTCCCTCCCCAAAAAAGAGGTGCACCTGGCGCGGGGGGAGGTTGGGTTTCCCTTTCTGTGGAAAGGGGACCTGGGCGCAGAAAGGCAGCGTTGGCAGAGCCAGGGGGCTGCGGGCTGGGGAGCTGCGCGGCGCGGGTAGGTGGGCAGGGGGCTGCCCCGGGCCGCAGCTCGGTCTGTCGTGAAAGAAGGGAGGGGGCAGGGGCTTTGGGCTGCAAACGAAAATCCTGGCTCAGGGCAGGTGTGAAAAGGTGATCCTGCAACTGCTTCGACTGCGGATGCCTTCATTGATCACTGTACGGCAGAGGGAAGGGGGAGGGAGAGAGATGCCTTGGGTCTCAAACTGATATCCCAGCTCTTGGCAGGTTTGCAGAGGTCGTATTACAAATACTCCAGCGGGGGATGCATGCATAATAGATTGAACATAGGTTGGTTTATAAACAGTTCTCCAGCCTAGGGCATACTTGTAAAATGCACCTTTGTTTGGATTCTAGCAAAATGAGGACGCCTGGATCTCTGAATGGGGAAGGAGAGGATCTTTAAGAGAAAAAAAACAGGGGCTAGGTTGTTATTTTCATCGGCTCTGAGAAATGTGTAGGAGTCATAGGTTTCAAGTCATCCTGATGCTATTTAATTGCGGTAGATCAGATTTCCTGAGTGCTTCAGAGCAACTGGATGGGACAAAATCATCAGTATTTGAAAGGAAGAATTGGACTGCAGGCACTCAGTAGTCAATGTGATTTTTTTTTTTTTTTATTCATTTTGCTAGTTCTCAGAGTAGTGTAAGCGCTCCTTGCACTGCAGCAGTCTGCTGATGTTTACTCCATCTCTTCTCATGGGTTATAAAAGGACTCAGGATTTTAACAAGCTAATTGCCATCATCTGCCTAGTGAGAACAGTGAAGCTGGACACAAGGCACAAGTCATTCAAGGCTTTAGGGACAAATGACTTTATTTAGAGAATTCCTGTATTTTTGATGGATTTTCATTAAACAGTGGGACTGTGCAGCAAGAGGGATTTTTTTCCTTGACAGGATTGCAGAATGCTGGGTGTCATTTGAGTACTTAAATTTAGGCAATTGAGAATTACCCCTCTTGGGTAAAATGAAATGCAAAGGATTTAGGGAACTTAGGCAGCCTGTGGGTGAGCATTTATCAGGTATGCTGTTATACTGATATGCCTTTGGGCACTGAAGGAGTTGTCCAGAAGCGCCAAACTAGTATAGATTTTTAAAGAGGTTGAAATATGATTTGCATCTGGTTCTTGAAAAGTTAATGAAATAGGACTGCAAGGAGTCTTTGTAAATCATTCCTTTAAGAACCTGTTATGAAATGGAGGCTCCAATCAGCAGAAGAAACAATTATTATTGAACCCGAGACCTTGTTTGTTGAGTGTTCTGTGTTTTCAGTCATGCAAAATAGCATACACAAATCCCTTCTTTATGCCTTTTAAAAATCTGGCTTAATATCTCCTACTCTGGTTTTATAAAAGGCATGAGTGGCTTCCTCTATCTGTAGTATTTAAAGGACGCTTTAGGAAATGCTCAGTAAATGTTTTCACTGATGTTTACTAAACTCCTTTACTCAAATAGATGAACATTTTCCATGGATTTGACTGTAAATTCTCTTTTGGGCTTTCCCAACTAGTTTCTTACCATAACATCCCAATCTAGAACATAATAAACCCACAGAGACCCTTATCTTTTATGCTCATATTTACAGTCACATCCTCATTCCTAAACTAATCTTGAAATTAAGGCATTACATGTGGGAAAAATTAATGTCTCAAGCAAGTGAGATGACCTGTTGTACAAAGGTGTGTTGTCCATGAAGCCAGAAAAGAATTGTTTTGGTGACAAGAGAGAATGCCAAATCCAAAGTGGCAAGCTCATGTTTAATTCCTGTTGATGTCAGTGGAACTTTAATATGAGTTTAGTGGCAGAAAAAATTAGGTAGTTGATGTTGGCTGCTAGCAGGTAGCCAAAACTCCCAAATATATTAAATTTTGTGCATCTTTTTAGTGTGGTATGTTTATCATCCTCTTGCAAACCTTATACTTATTTCAGTGGCCTGTGATAAATAAGTGATTTGTGACACAGACCAAAAAATCTATGAGGGATCAAAGGCAAACTGGAAGTTTTCTTCACCTGGAAAATTCAGTAGTGACCACAGAAAACATGCATTTTTTTAAAATCTAGATGAACAATAATAAGTTTATTCTGCTGTCATTTACTTGCCGTGATGTTATTTGATTGGCAGTGGCCTTAAAGCTTGGTTTTGAAGTCATTATGGCCATATTGGCTGCTGCAGCTCCACAGGAAAGCTTAGTTCAATAAAGTTGAATGGATGTCAATATGGGCCTATTCCAAAGCTCACTGAAATCAATTGGAGTATTTCTGCAGACTTCGATGAGTTTTGGATCAGGCTTTCACTGTAGAATTTGGCACAGTATATTTGGTCCCAAAGGAAACGGTGTAATATAGTAGGGTGTATTTGGGGTAGAAGCAGAACATAACTCTCCTGGGCACGTCGGTGTAGTTTTAAGTTGAAAACAGACAAGAATGCTGGCTGTAGCATCAACTCTTTATTGTATGAGTTTCCATTCAAAACTCCTGTAACTCACTAAAATGAAGAGGGTTGATATTTGCTGCATTCATGTTCCATTCATATTTATACAGTTGGCTAAACTTCTTAATCTTGCCAACCTTTAAGCTGTACTGAAGTCATTGGACTACTCATGTGCCTAGAGGTAAAAATGACTGCAAAGTGGTTTTAGACAGGTCTCTGAAGCATGTTTGTGTATTTTAATTGTGAGGATTTTACTGTGGCTGGGATTTCTGTCAGAGGTTAAGAGTACCTACTGTATTAATTACAAGCTGGACACCTAGTTTCTTCAGGCCAGATTTACAGAGAACATCTTTTTGGTTTAGCTATGCGAAGAGAGTTCAAAAAGTACTTACAAAATCCACATGCTTAAAGGTTTTTATACCAACATAACATATTCCAATTCAGTAAAGCAGAATTAAGGTTCGTACCTTCTCAGAGGAGCCAGCATTTTGACTCATTTGACTCAAAATTAGCTGGATTGGAAAAGATCAGTTGTAGAAATTGTGTTGAACTGGGCAACTTCTGAGCAAAATGGGTTGAACTGTGGCTTACCCTGTGTCAATGGAAGAGGTTGCTGCTATTCATCACTTCTGCACTGCTAAAGGTTCCCACTGATCTGGTACAGCAGCCTGCCTGTGCGCTCCCTAGCTCATTTCTGTCAAAATAAGTCAGATCAGCAAAGGCCTGCTATTGAAGTTGTCTGAAGCTTCTGGCATGTTTCCAGCAATTAAGCTGGAACAGTTCCTGCTCTTACTTGTTTTCCCCTGTCCCAGGGGCTGCTGGCCCCATGGCAGGGATGATGGAAGAACTTGTGAGTCAGCTTCCAGATTGCCACTGGGAACAGCCTAGGATGTAGGCATGAACCAAAATCAATGTTAAATCAAAATCAAAGAAAGAGCCAATGCTGCGGTTCACTCAGGTGGAAGAAAGCTCAAGGGTCTCCAAATCCAAACGGGGATTTGAAGATCATCCAGAACCAGCAATCTATTAATGTCCAGCTCAGGGAACTTT